TTATATAATAAAGAAAATGAGAAGTGTTACAAAGTTAATAAATAAGTGGAAAACTGAAAATGTAAATAATTGCTAATCTCATTTGTATAAAATTATCAGTGCTTGTCTTCTTCATCCTGTATCCTCATTTTCTTGCTTCATCCTATGCATACCCTATTCCTCACTTTCTGTCAGTTTATGTTTGCACAGGGTTATTCATCAAATAGACAAATTAAAACTCTGGCAAATCCCTAGTTTCTTCCTCCTCATTATATCAAAGTACTGCTTCCCCTATTTCTCTGAACTTTTCTCTTTAGACAGCTTCCTATTTCCTATTCCCTAATGTGTAGATGTAGCTATAGATACAAAGAAATAGATATATTTAAACAAGTCTGACTTCAAAGGATAATGCTGATCAGTGTCACCTTTCAAAAGTCAGAGCTCCACTTGGGAAGATCCTAAGTATGGCATTCATTTGACACATCCTGGTAGTCCAACGTCTGGTTTTCCAGAAACATTGAATAATCCTTTCAATAAACATTTGCTAGGGAACCTCTAGTGCCAGGAAAAGTACTAAACATTGATGATAAAAGGACAGTTAGTTGAACAGTTCGTCTGATTTAACAAAGAATAGTCTGATCTCCAGTTTCCAGTCAAAATGCTTTCTAAAACAAAGGAGAAAAGACCCACAGTGATCCGTCCAAATATATTACTAAAAGCATGGCCGGGGAAGGAGTATAACAATAACAGCCAGCAAACAATGAAGCTAAACATGACATTAGGTTGAAATAATAACGAAATATAAAAGTAAAATTTTGCATATAAAATTTCAAATCTCAGGTAATATAAGTGACAAAGAACAAGGGAAATGTAAACATTTTCTCGTTCTTCCCTTTTTCAGGGGAATAATTTTGATGCTGAATATAAATATCTACTTCTAACTATTAATATGTGCATATCTAGGCTGGGTGTGGTGGCTCACGCCTGTAATCCCAGCAGTTTGGGAGGCTAAGGCGGAGGGATCACAAGGTCAGGAAATGGAGACCACCCTGGCTAACACGGTGAAACTCCGTCTCTACTAAAAATACAAAAAAAAAAAAAAATTGCTGGGCATGGTGGCAGGCACCTGTAGTCCCAGCTACTCGGGAGGCTGAGGCAGGAGAATGGGGTGAACCTGGGCGGCGGAGCTTGCAGTGAGCCGAGATGGCACCACTGCACTCCAGCCTGGGCGACAGAGCGAGACTCCGTCTCAAAAAAAGAAAAATATATATATATGCATATCTAAATATGCTCGAGAATAACACAAATAGGAAGTAAATACCAAAAATACTTGTGTTTGTAGGTGTGATTATTCACGCCTGTAATTTCAGCACCTTGGGAGGCTCAGGGTGGATTGCTTAAGCCCAGGAGTTTGAGGCCAGCCTGGGCAACATGACAAAACTCTGTCTCTACAAAACATATAAAAATTAGCCTGGCATAAAGGCACACACCTGTCGTCCCAGCTACCCAAGAGGCTGAGGTGGAAAGATCGCTTGAGCCTAGGAGGTTGAGACTGCAGTGAGCAGTGATTACACCACTACAGTTCAGCCTGGGTGACAGTGAGACCCTGAAAAAAAAAAAAAAAAGAAAAAAAAAAAAAAGGAGAAAGAAAAGAAAACTGCCTGTATAAACTTGATTTAACAAAGTATAATGATACAAAAAAGAAAAATGCAGAGTATGATAAAGAGAAAATGTATTAAGATTGTAGGGATAAGTCCAATTGTATCAATGATCAGAAAAATGTGAATGTATTAAAACAAGGAAAAAGATATATTTGTACAAAACAAGATACTTAAAATTTAGAATCAACACTTCAATGTTGAAAATTTGAAACTGGTTGAAGTGGGTGATTTTTCTAGAATAAATATAAACTACTAAATTTTACTCTTAAAAAGTAGAAAAACTGAAAACCTAATTTATCAAAAGCAATAGTGAAACATATTAAAAGAAAGTAAAAGTTATAATCATCACCATCATTATGATCAAGCACAGCGTGTGTGTGTGTGTGTTGAGGTGGGTGAATTCTACTTATATTTTTCCAAATTCTGATAATTTCCATTTAAATTTTTTTTCTAGACTATATAACTCTGCAACTCAACAAGAGAAACTAACATAAATCTGATGACAAAATTGGCAAGTAAAACTCAGAAATCAAAACCTAGAAAAATAGACATAATAACCATAAATAAAATATTGAAAGTTGACTACACCAGAAGGGAGATAAAATAAAAAGAGTGAGCTGTGTGTGAAGATGAGATGAGTTGGGATATTATCTGTTAAAGGGTTGCCTGTCATAGAGCAGAAAGTCTTCCTCTGTGAAAATCCATGCAGGCTTTAGGTTTGGTTGGAGGAGAGACCTTAGAACTCAAGTGTAATGGTTTCGAGTTTGTTTGTTTGTTTTTGTTTTTTGAGGTGGAGTCTCCCTCTGTTGCCCAGGCTAGAATGCAGTGGCGAGATTTCGGCTCACTGCAGCCTCTGCCTCCTGGGTTCCAGTGATTTTCCTGCCTCATCGTCCTGGGTAGCTGGTATTACAGGCGTGTGCCACCACACCCAGTTAATTTTTGTATTTTAGTAGAGATGGGGTTTCACCATGTTGGCCAGGCTGGTTTCAACTCATGACCTCAGGTGATCCGCCTACCTCTGCTTCCCAAAGTGCTAGGATTACAGGCATGAGCCACTGTGCCCAGCTGATGGTTTCACATTTTAATTTCAATGATGCAGGAAAACTGTGTCAATCACTTAAGAGTAGGAAGGTGACTACATATAACACACTAGAGAAAAGTTGTATAATTGCTGGGCACTATTAGGGGGTTCATGTGAGGTTATGATCGTAAGTTTAAAGTGTTATTAGTATCTTTTTGTGTTTTTCTTGATTTAGTAATTTTCTTTTTATATTCATAACATTTTTCTTGACCTGGCTTACTTATTTTTAAAAAATGATCAATCAAATTTTATACATGCATGTCTTAGCTGAAAACCTGAATTGGAACATTTTTCAATGCCTTCGTTGTTACTGCTGTAAATTTATTCCAGATAATTGGTTTTCTTCTTCAGAGTCATCAGCTCCCAACTCTACTTTTTAAAACATCTATGTTAATTACAAATATGTTTGCAAATAGATTGATTTTCTTTTGATCATTCTAATTTTTGGAGAGCTCTGAGCTCTCCAGTGTATATTAGTAGAACTCTTTTATCATCCAGTTAATTTTCGTTATTTAAATGTAAATTGTAGTTTCACTGGCAGGAGAATGATGAGTGTGCCCACTAGGATTTCTTTAATTCTGAGGTTTATATATTAGAAATTTTCTGAAAGAACTACAATAATGTGGTTCTCTTAGTTCTAGCACTCATCTATTTTATTTCTGCTTTTACATTGATGTTTATTTTCTCAGAAATCTTATACAAAGCTACACATTTATAATTTAATCCCATCATATAAATACATAGTCCAAATAGTTTTCTATTTATAAAGGTAAGTTTTGGTGGGGTAGTTTGGGGGAGATGTACCTCCAGTTTTCTCTGTGATAAAGAAGACCTATTAAATGTCAGTCTCTTCACACATATTCCCCATATTCAATTCATACATATCTACCCATAGATATCAAACAGGGGAGCAAATAAAACTACTCATAAGCTAAGCTCAAATCATAAGTAGGAGACAAAATAATAACAATACAAACTTTGATACACATGTAAGTAGGAAAGTAAACAAGAAAACCCAGCAGAGTCTTGAGGCGTCACCAAAACAGAAAGGTAGATGAAGACTGGTAGGAGACAGTGAAGAGGAAGAGGGCAGATAGATCTGTTTCACAGAAATCTACGTCAGCACATTTGAAAACCTAGATAAGGTGAATAATCTCTTAAAAAATACAGTCGTGAAAATTAGGAGGCAACAATGGTAGATATATGAATTTATGCATTTGTAAATGTCCATAGAACCACATATCACAATGAATGACTGAATACTCTGAATATTCACAAAACATAAAAATATTTAAGGTCACCAAAAATACCTATATAATTTCTATAAATACGAGTTAATAACAGTAACATTCTCTGATCTCAAAGCAATAAAACTAAAAGTTAAAATATAAGCAAACTAAAAACCAAAATCTATCATCATCAACCAAGATGTCTGGGATCCCAAGAACTGAATGCAAATTGAGATGAATGAATGTAACTGTGTTACAGTATGACAAATGTATTACATATCACACAAAATGAAGTGAAAGGAAAAAAGAGGCTGAATTACACAATTCTGCAAAATGATGTCTGGAAACTGTAAGGCTAAAGATCAAAGGAACCATAAATAAACATCATTCTCTTGTTGGCAACTTTGTTTCTCATTGGGTTATAGGTAAGCAATTATGAATTTGTTTTCTGCCTACTGGGATTGAACAGTGAAATAAATGGTGAATGGTGGGAACTATATATCTCCATGTTGGAATAGGATATATAGATACGCAGATAAGAAGGCTAGAATGAATCCTGTGGTGCTGTATTAGAGTTAGAAACATCAGTATGAACTTATGTTTATCTGAATGTATTCACAGAATATAGATACAGACACCTTTATAGATATGTGTGTATACAATGGAGTGGTCATACATCTATTAACCAAATCTGTTCCTTGAGAAGGCCTATAAACAATGACACCCTAGTAGCAATGAGAATGGCCAATGCAGAGATCTTCAAAATACCATCCTCTAACAAAAGCAAGCAGGTCTTTTTAAATAAATGAATAATTTTAGGGCTGAGGCTTGAGATATACATGATGAGCTTGCAATATCTGTAATGCCAGAAAGTAAGGAAGTTTTCTGAAAACAAAAGAATGGTGAAAAGGAGTTTTGGGAGGCTGAGGTGGGTGAACCACTTGAGGTCAGTAGTTCGAGACCAGCCTGGCCAACATGTTGAAACTCCCATTTCTACCATAAAATAAATAAATAAGTAAATAAAAATTAGCCAGACATGGTAGCACACACCTGGAGTCTCAGCTAATAGGGAAGCTGAGGCACGAGAATTGCTTGAACCTGGGAGGCAGAGGTTGCAGTGAGCTGAGATCATGCCACTCCACTCCAGCCTGGGCAACAGAGTGAGACCATGTCTAAAAAAAAAAAACATAGAAGCCAACCTGAAAGACAAAATAAATAATGCAACATTGGATTATAATTCAAAGGATAAAATAAGTATACCTGAATCAAATGAATATAAAAAAAGATTGAACAAATATATGAGGGAGAAATAACAAACCTTCCATATAGAAAAATTCCAAATAATACATGTAGAGTTCAGCAGTTTCCATCCCCCTTGAGAATAAACTGAACTTAGTAACTCACTGTCCCTGAATACAGTAGGTAAATAAACAAATAATAACTTTACAGATAAGAAACCTACGACCTTAACCAAATCATTAAATTAGCAACATCAGTGACAGCAAGTGGACATCATGTATTACCTGAAATCCAAAATATATTACCCAGGTGGTAAAATACTTGTACACTAATAATTACAAAACTTTGATGAAAAAAATTAAAGGAGACACAAATAAATGGAAAGACATCCTGTATTCATGAATAAGAAGACTTAATTTTGTTAATACTATATATACTACCCAAAGCTATCTATAGATTCAATGTGTTTCCTATCAAAATACCAATGACATTTTCTCACAGTGATAGAAAAATAATCCTAAAATACATATGGAACCATAGAAGGCCCTAAATAGCCAAAGCAATCTTGGGAAAGGAAAACAAAGCTGGAGGTATCACGTTTTTGACTTCAAAATATATTACAAAGCAACAGTAATTAAAGTAGTATGGTAATAGCATAAAACAGACATATGGATCAATGGAACAGAATAGAACAGAGATATAAGAAATAAACCCACACTTATACTATCAATTGATCTTTGACAAGGATGATGCTAAGAATACACAATGAGGAAAGGATAATATCTTCAACAAATGGCCATGGGAAAACCATATATCTACATGCAAAATAATGAAATTGAGCTACTTTTTTTGCATTATACACAAAATTCAAGGAAAATTTTAATAAAGATTTAAACAGAAAGCCTAAAATCTGAAAATCTTAGAGAGGAAATGCTTTATGGCGTTAGTCCAGGCAATAATTTCTTGATTATGACACAAAAAGAACAAGAAACTAAAGCAAGAAAAGACATTGGGACTATATCAAACTAGAAGTCATCTGCAAAGCAAAGGAAAGAAACAGAGTCAAAAGGCAACTGTCAGAGTGGGAGAAAATATTTGCAAGTCATATATCTGATAAAGAGTTAACATCTACAATTGCTACAAAGAGAATAAAATACTTAGGAATACAACTTACAAAGGACTTGAAGGACCTCTTTAAGGATAACTACAAACCACTGAACAAGGAAATAAGAAAGGACACAAACAAATGGAAAAAATATTTCATGCTCATGGATAGGAAGAATCAATACTGTGAAAATGACCATACTGCCTAAAGTAATTTATAGATTCAATGCTATTCCCATCAAGCTACTAGTGACTTTCTTTACATAATTAGAAAAAAATTACTTTAAATTTCATATGGAACCAAAAAAGAGCTTGTATAGCCAAAACAATCCTAAGCAAAAAGAACAAAGCTGGAGGCATCACGCTACCTGACTTCAAACTATACTACAAGGCTATAGTAACCCAAACTGCATGGTACTGGTATCAAAGCAGATATATAGACCAATGGAACAGAACAGAGACCTCAGAAATAACTCCATACATCAACCATATGATCTTCAACAAACCTGACAAAAACAAGTAATGGGGAAAGGATTCCCTATTCAATAAATGGTGCTGGGAAAACTGGCTAGCCATATGCAGAACACTGAAACTGGACCCTTTCCTTACACGTTATACAAAAAATAACTCAAGATGGATTAAAGACTTAAAAATACAACCCTAAACCATAAAAACCCTAGCAGAAAACCTAGGCAATACCATACAGGACATAGGCATGGGAAAAGACTTCATGACGAAAACACCAAAAGCAATTGCAACAAAAGCCAAAATTGATAAATGGAATCTAATTAACCTAAAGAGCTTCTGCACAGCAAGGGAAACTAGCATCAGAGTGAACAGGCAACCTACAGAATGGGAGAAAAATTTTGCAATCTACCCATCTGATAAAGTTCTAATATCCAGAATCTACTAGGAACTTAAACAAATGTATAAGAAAAAAAACCAACACCACCAACAAAAAGGATATGAATAGACACTTCTCAAAAGAAGACATTTATGTGGCCAATAAACATAAGAACAAAAGCTCATCATCACTGATCATTAGAGAAATGCAAATCAAAACCACAATGAGATACCATCTCATGCCGGTCAGAATGGTGATTATTAAAAATTCAGGAAACAATAGATGTTGGCAGGGCTGTAGAGAAATAGGAACACTTTTACACTGTTGGCAGAAATGTAAATTAGTTCAACCACTGAGGAAAACAGTGTGGTGATTCCTCAAAGATCTAGAACTAGAAATACCATTTGACCTAGCAATCCCATTACTGTGCATATACCCAAAGGATTATAAATCATTCTACTATAAAGACACATGCACATGCATGATGAACAATGAGAATACATGGACCCAGGGAGGGGAACAACACATACCAGGGCCTGTCGGGGGGTGGGTGGAAAGGAGAGGGAGAGCATTAGGACAAATACCTAATGCATGCAGGGCATAAAACCTAGATGACGAGGAGAATAGCTGGAACCCAGGAGACGGAGATTACAGTGTGCCAAGATCGTGCCACTGCACTCCAGCCTAGCGACAGAGCAAGACTCCATCTCAAAGAGAGAGAGAGAGAGAGAGAGAGAAAACCTAGATGATTGGTTGATAGGTGCAGAAACTACCATGCTGCATGTATACCTACCTAATAAACCTGCACATTCTGCACATGTATCCCAGAACTTAAAGTTTTTTTAAAAAAAGAAAAAAGCATTAATATCCAAAATATATTAAAAACTATTACAACTAAGAGCAAAAACAAAAAACAAATTCAAATAACTTAATCATAAAATGGGCAACACATTTGAGTAGACATTTTTCCGAAGACATACACATGGTCAACAGATATGTGAAAAGATACTCAACATAACTTATCAAGGAAATCAAAACCACAATGATATATCACTTACACCTGTTGGGATGGCCATTATAAAAGAAAATAAAAAGTATTTGTAGGATGTGAAGAAAGTGGAATCCTTATACCTTGGTGGTTGAAATATAAAATAGTTCAGCAGCTATGGAAATAATATGAGATTCCTCAAAAATTTTAAATAGAACTAACATAAGCCAGTAATTTCACTTCTGAATATATATATATATACAAAGAAATTCAAATCACTATATTGAACAGACATATCTAATATGCTTATTGCAGCGTTATTCACAATGGCCAAGATATGGAAACAACCTAAATATCAATGGATAGATGAATGGACATATTGTGGTATATACATAGATGAAATATTATTCACCCTTAAAAATGGAATTCTGCCATCATTATAAGTAAAATTAGCCAGTCGCAGAAGGACAAATACTGCATGATTTTGCTTATATGGTGTACCTAAAATAATCAAACTCAAACACAGAGAGAAGAATGGTGGTTGTCAGGGCCTAGGTTGAAGGGCAAATGGGGAGTTGCTCTTCAATATATGAAAGGATATAAAGGCACATATATGATATAATATATACGATATATACATATGTAAAGGGTATATAAAGAATATGAAGGGATATAAAGTTTTAATTATACAAGGTGAATATATTCTAGAGATTTGCTGTACAATATTGTGTCTATGGTTAACAATATTATATTGTGCACTTAAAAATGTCTTAGGAGGGTAGATCTTGTGTTAAGTATTCCTTCAACAATAAAAAGAAAAGAAGTTTATATGGGAAAATAAACCTCTAAGTATATGTATGAAAATTCAAAAGAAGAAAAGCAATGAAGGAATAAGAGAACTAAATATAGTACGTATAAACCCCCTATAATTAAAAGAACATATGAATGCAGAAATACACAAATAAACCAATCGAACAGAATAGAAATTCCAAATATAGGCCAATGAGCATATGAAATTTTAGTACATGATAAAGCAGGCATCTCACATCAGTTAGGTGTTTAGTAATTTTAAAATTCATAAAGTTTTAAAACCTAAAGAGTCAGTTGGACAATGTTAAGATTCACACCTGATATAATTCTATAGAACAATTTCCAAATAGATCTGAAATATAAATACCAAGCAAAACAGAAAAGATAATAATTTATTATGTGGTGGATGAAGGCGTTTTCTCTTTTTTGTTAAAATCCACAAGCAATAAAAAACATATTGATGATTTAACCACTTGAAAAAATATTTTCATAGAAAAAATCATAAGCAAAGCCAAAAGAAAAAAAGAGAAAATATTTCCCATAAATACTACATTAAAAGGAGCAAAAGGCTAATCTATTTGATATATAATGAGCATTTAAAAATCTTATAAAACAAAATTTAATGCATAAGTAGACCCCCAAATATACAAAATCACGAGGAAACTGTTTACAACATAAGATTTACATTCAAAAAAAGCTTACATTTAATCATTTTAAAAACACTCAACTTTTCTCGTAATAAAATATGAAGATTAAAGTTAGATACCATTTCTCACTCACACAATCAGCAAAAATTTTAAAGTTAAACAACATGCTCTGTTGGCAAGGCTATGAAGGAAATAGTCCTCTCATTTACTCATGTGGGAGTGAAAACTTGGACCACACATATAAGAGGAAATTAGGCAATTAACACAAAATTACCCTTTCCTACTCCTAAAAATTTATGTTAGGTACTTTATACTATGAAATAACATATGTTCAAAGTTATTTGCAATGGTATTACATGTAAAAGCAAATATTAAAAAATACTAATATTCACCTGTAGGAGACTGAGTATAAACAGACAATTATGCAGCTGTAATAATAATTAGAAAGATTCAGATGAGCT